GGGGACTGCAGCCTATGCTGTCACTGGCGACTCATGGGCAGCCCAGTTCCAGGTCCAGCTGCTGTTCAGCATCTTAGCTGTAGAGGGCAGTGTCACTGGCCCTCATATATGGAATCTGAACCGGGGCCCTCTGGCATCCCAAGCCAGTTCTTAACGAACGTGCCACTCGGCCGGCCCACAAGTGTTAAATTATTAAGCTTCAGAAAACTCAGTGGCTTTTTTTCTGTTTTGTTTTTCAAAATATCTTTCAGCCCTGGGCAGAGCCAGGCACAGCTGCCTTCCCTGCTGGTCTCTGTGCAGAACTGGTCCAGAAGCCTGGGCTGTGGCCCATGGAGACTCCACAGGCTCCTTCCCAAGGGCTTCTTTGGCTAGGATTTCTTAGGAAGTCGTCTCTGGAACTAGGATTACTCCCAGCGGTGAGAACTCAGTCAGTATGCCGAGTTGGGAAATGAAAATGCGTAAGTGGAAGGCGGTAGGGACAGTGCAGTGGGCAGCCAGCCCAGTGTTATCACTAATACTGCCTCTAGTAATCTCCACGGCAGCCCCACCATGAAGCCAGAAATTTGAGTTTCATGAAATCAGACAGGGACTTGTTCTATTTTTTATTATATTTGTTGCTTATTGCCTTAGCTCTATTAGAAGGAACTGCATCTAAGGACTGATAGATACATCTCTATAAATACAATTTTAGCTGAATTGAACACATGGAGGATAAATCATGCTTCTATTATACTGTTACTGCTGCAAATATAGTTGCTGTGTCAAATTATGAAATTTGGCTAAATATTCTCCGGTGTTCTTCTACCGTATGATTCCCTTTTGACAAATTTTAACCAACAATTTTTCATATCTCATTTTCTTCCTAAGGCTTCATCACACTGGTGTGTAATATTTCCATTATCACACTTCAACCGCATTTTAACGTTTACTTTGCCCAAGGTGTTCTCAAATGGGAAAATCTTAAAAATCCATGGGCCAAAAGGGACGCTATTTCATCAGGTTTCTCTCTAAGCAGAAGATGTAAGATTGGAATGAAAATACAGAGCACTAAGGATTCATTTTTTCCTGTCACCCAGAACATGATAACAAGGAATGTGGATCATGCCAACACGGTCAGCTCAGGTGTAAAATTCCGTGTAGTGAGAGGAGCATGGCGGATTCAGGTTTCATACTGGCTTAAGTTTTCAGGTTTCTTGACAGGATCTGATGCTTTCAGTTTGAAATCTTATGCTTCGTAAAAGCATTCCAAGATATTGACCAAGCCTGTGGGTTCATTCAGAGATTTAAAGGGAGAGCAGTAAAAGAATATTGTAGCTGTGGAAGGATAGAAAAAATAAAAGGTATACTGGACAGAGAAGGGTGTCTTGGATAAGGGAGTTCGTAACTTTTGAACATTGCAGTCAATACCCCCATGCTGTGCTTGTCACACAAGCACAGTCACACTCACTCTGAACTCTCCAATACCCTCCACTTTCAATCATATAATATGCCTAAAACTACATCTGTTCTAAATATCTCTGCATTAATCACCAGATTTCATATGTTCATTGTCCTCTTCTGGAAGTATGTGGAACTACCAAAGGGTACAACCACTTTCAAAAAAATCTGGCAATTTTGTATAATGAGATATCCTAAAATCCAGTAATTCAGTTTTACAGCTAAGAAGATGCAAAGAAAGCAAAAGTTAGGTTCCATTTCCACTAATGGAGATATTTGTTTCAATAAAACATCACCTTTATCAAATAGATCAACACTATAAATATTGCACAAATGTGACAAAGAGAGAGATAAGAAGGAAGGAAAGAAGGAAGGGAGGAAGAAAGGAAGAAAGGAAACTAAACATGAAGGACCCAGAGATTGACAAAGGCAGTCAGAATCTACAGTGTAATAGACACTTGGAAGAAGGGAACACTGTGGGGATGGTTCCTAGTTTTATGACTTTTGTTTGAAGAAAGACCTCAATCAGCAGTGGGTGGACTCAGTTAGCAACATTCAGGCTTACTGACTTGAAGAACAAGAAAAATTTAGGGCTACCACACACAGCAGCTAAAAACCGGTAGGAGAATATCTTTAAAAGAGATATCCAGAGGAAGAAATCCCAAATTGTACATAAAATGTCTGATCAAATCACTGAACTACAAATGTTTGATACAGATGACAAGCAGCCTAAATAAGGCTAATGGAACTCATCACAAATTCCAGCTGCTGCAAAATGCAGGGGAGAATATGGAACTTGAGTTCAACCTAGTTGACTGCCTGAAAAAAAACAAAGCACAATAATATTCTTCAGAGAAATAAACAGAAATTCGGATTCTCTATATCACATTCAGAATTCCCCTGGAGGAATTTTAGATACAATGTAAAATTATTCAACATATGAAAAAAGTAGAAGATATGGCCCTATTCAGGAGAAAGGGCAATCATGGAGACCAACTCTGAAATAATCCAGATGTTGTATTTAATATACAAGGACTCCACAGCAGCTATTATATCTAAGGTGAAAGATGCAAAAGAAAATATGCTTATAATAATGAACAAATGCGAAATGTCAGAAGGCAAACAGAAATTCTTTTCATTTTCATTGAAATACTAAAACTAAAAACTACAATCACTCAAAAAACAAATCCAGGGTTTGCTTAGGAGAAATTCAGGATCACAAAAGAAGGACTAATTGACAGTATCACGTGCTGCAGAAACACTCATTGCTGCAGCATTTGCCCTGCTGCCTTCCTGGAAAAGAAAAGGCTAACTCACTCCCGAGGACAACTGTAGCCTTCCAGCTCCCTGGAAAGAGTGAGGCTGACCAGGAAAAGGGAACACTGACTTACGTCATTCCTGAGGGAGCGCATACAGAACTCCTGAGCCTGCCTCTATCACTGTAAGTCATAATGTGAATCAGCACCCTAAAAATGGAGATTTACCTGGGCAAACAGAGAACACGCTAATGAAAAGGAATTACTGTGAAAATAGACAAGAACAATGGACTTTCATCTAGTATATTCACTTAGATTACTGAAGCTATTCCAGTACTTAAAATGGAAGACTAGGTAGCTATGAAGAACATAAAACTTTTTTATATTAAAGAAACATTTATTATGTGCATAATAACAATATAGTTAACTATAGGCAGAATGTTGTACAGTGTATCTATAGAACTTATATATCCTGTATACCTGAAATTTTACACTTGTTGAACTGCAACACCTTAAAAATTTATGAGGTTGGATCTCATGGTGTTTTTACCACAATAAAAAAGGACAATTGATTGATAGCAGACTATTAAATAGCAAATTCAAAGAGAATGTTTAGAGAAAATAAATAACAACCGAGAATTGCATACTGAGAAAATTATTAACCTATAAGAAAAAATATATTTGTTGTTTTGAAAAACAGAAATAATTATGCAAAAAGATGAATTTAAAAAATGATCTGTGATTTCTTAATCAAGTTATCCTATATCAAATCATAACAAAGGTACTAATATTTGAAGTAGAAATATTCATTGTTAACACTAATTATTTCAAATCACAGTGAAAATTAATTAACACCAATCTGGATCAGTATTTAAGTGACAGGAAATGAGGAAGCTAATATAAACATTCTATTATTTAATTCCCACCATATCCCTATCAGGTAAGCTCTAGTATGTTTATTTATAATGAGAAACTGAATCCAATTACATTTTACTTAATAAGGCGCAGTGAGTAGCAACATCACAATAATGATATTCTATCTCATTTCAAGTTCAGGCTCTTAACTGTCCCCACTGTTCACCCTCTATGTCACCTGCAAGAGCTCCCTGATCATGAAGAAGCACAACATGGTTCAAGCCAATACCACGAGCTGCTCCTATATCACTAATGGCTACATGGATTGAACATGTCAATGTATATCTTTTGACACCTAGTATTTTCCTATGATGCTCCTGGCTCCTTCTGCAGAGTAGCATCTCCTGGGTTATCCCTCATATCCCATATCCTAGGGAATCTGGCTCCACCTTTTTGGGAGGAATGCACTACAGAAAGGCACCTGTGCTAGAGAAACAGAGGCAGTTCTAATCCTGCCTCCTCCACTCATTAGCTGTGGGACATTGGGGAAACCTCATAAGTTATATATTAGTTTAACTACCTGAAAGGGATTTTTCCTTCTTATATTTTTCAAGATTAATTGGGATAAAACATTCTCTCTACATATTTATACACATAATTTATATATTATAATATATATACATGTGGTATGTAAGTATGAGAGTTTATGTGTGTATGTGCATACCTTTCCCAGGCCAAGTACTTTCTTTTTTCATTCCCCTTGGATAAGTTATTACCCTTGATAACTTGATGTGGGTTCTGTGCTGTGGTTGGCCCTAATTTATAATAAATGCTTCTCTGAGAAAAGATTGTTCATTTGCTATCCTGAGTAAATCTATTCCATAATTTGAAACTGATTAATAAAGAAAAGTGTGTAAGACGGTACATATAGTGGTATACTCAAGGAAAAGTCCTGAACACCAAAAGGCTGCTCTTTGTAAGACATGGCTCCCTCTGCTGGACAGATTTTGGAAACACTGTTTCGGTTTTCTGACCCATTTCTTCAAAAAGGGACTTAAAAACAGTCCCAGCCTCAGTTGAAAAAGTTCGATAACACAAGACTGAAACTGGAGTGGTCTTGACACCAGCGCCTGGAAACTCAGAGAATGGGACTTCAGTAGAATCATTTACTGTTCCTCTCAAGGGCACAAATCAGTTGTATAGGACACTGACACAGCTTATACTTTTCAGTAATCACAACAGGAAATACTTGTATCGTGCAGGACTTACGTAGGTACTTTCCATTGAGTGACAGTTGTAGACAATGATCTTAAGAGTTAGGACAGTTTTAAATCTCCATTGCTATTTCAGGGAAAAGAAACCCAGAATTCATTCATCATTACACAGCTTATAAAAGACAGGATTTGAACTCTGAACACAGAATTTTCATTCTGGGTACATATATTACTTTTGTTTTTCTTTCCTTGACTCTCTAATGAACAATGTTATACCCCTTGGCAACAAATGGACATACACTCAAAGATTCCTTAGTTGTTAGTGGTGGATAGGGATTATAAACTGTCCTACGATCATGGATGGTGGAAGACAGGTTTAGTCATGTCTCGTCAGAACACCAATAAAGGGAAATGTGGATAAATAGAAGGCCAAAGATGCTATATCAATCCTTCTCTGTCTTAAGGAGGGACTCTGGTGTCTTTCTTTGAGAATACAAAAATGGGTGAATGGGTAAATGAGCTCCTCTCCTAACTCAAGCCAGAAACAGTGCAGATCCCAAGGATGAGGAAAAGTTCTAAAAAAGAGACAGCAAGGAAGAGATGGTATGAAGGGTACAGATGACACTGGGACAGGGATGCTGCAAGTGGGTGAGGGAATGAAAAGGTTCAGGAGTTGGGCTGGCACAGAGTCATGGGAGCTGGACAGTTCCAAGGATTGAAATACGGATAAGCAGACTTGGAAAAGTCACATTTAGAGAACCTGTAGATGAGTGATCCATGGTTTGTGACGTTAAAAAATGAGACAGTGCCTGCTTCATAGTCTAGGAAAACGCCAACACGACAGGGAGGAACTGCCACGGAAAGAGTCAAGACCTTGGGATCAGAAGTGGAAGAGTCCTCAAAGGCATTGTACTCAGACTCATTCTGTAATCCTATAACCCAGTAGCCATTTTCAGGTTTGAATCTGGAGTAAACATTTTGATGATTTTTGCCTCGTCTAACACCAGACTTTATATTATCGGAGCGTCTTCTACAGTATACCCCCAGGATCCAGGCAGTCTTCTTGGACACATCTATTTCCCAATAGTGTTTCCCTGAGGAGAAATATTGGGACCCCAAGGTACCATAATTATAATACTTTACAGGCCAAATTGGCACCGATACCAACTGTCTCTGATCCTCTGAAAGGAGAAGATTCATATTTAGGTTGAATGGATTCAATGTGATGTCCACTGCAGAGAGAAAAAAAAAATTAGGTGACAGATATGGGGTAGGTTTATCTGGTGGTGCAAATGTCTTGGAAAGTTACTAGGCAGACTTTGTATTGACAGATTGGGGAAGTGGGGAAAAACACTGGAGAAATATATTATACATATGCATTGGGAGGTGAGGAGAACGCATGGGGCTAAGATCATGAGATCTCACAGAAACCACAAAGTTCTGAAAGGGGACCAGAGCACAATGATTTGATGACACAGTAACTTCTTACCCCAGTAGCACTGGACATGTGTTAGCTCTGAAATGATAAAAAAGATTCAATGATGTTGATTAGAAGCAAATAATTAAGCACTGATAGCTATCTCTTCTCTAGAGGAGGGGCAGGGGAAAAGGTTGCTGTGAGGCTAATAACTGGTAAATGAGAGGATAAACCAAATACCTAGCCATTCTCCCTTAGATATAACCACATCTTTAGCAATATCCTTTCTTCTCTGAACACCCTCCTTTCTATCCCCACTTTGAAACTATACCGGCTCCCCAGTTTAGCCCCTGACACAAAAAAAATCCGACAACCACACTCCTGCCCTGGCTTTCCTCACGTTTAAATGTGTGCAGCATTCCACTCAGATCTGGAACACGGAATCCACTCTTCAGTTTTTTAGAAACAGTTTTTGGCTTCTTCAGTGTCCAGGTCTCACTCCTAGGGATGACAGAAAATGTTTACCCCACATTTCTTATCTTGTGTCCCTCCAATACCACACTGTCTTTCTCTCCTTCCATGCCATTAGTACACTTGAACTTTCTTCCCTGAGAAGCCTGAGCAGGGGAGATGGGAGGTCCTGACACTGGAGCCAGAAGAGATGTGCTCATGTCTACCTTCTCAGTTACCCTCTGTGTGACCTTAGGAAGGTCTTCACGTCAAAGAAACAGTTCCTTCTTCTAAAAATAAAATAATTAACCTTCATTTAACACCTCATAGAAATAATAGAAATTATATTAAGTAACGTATAAGAAAAACCTTTGCTACATCTAATAAAGGCATGCAATATGTGGAAAAGTCATCACAGTGAGTCTCCCCAAAAAAGGGCCATAGATGTGTGTTCCCAGGAAGATCAGTAGTGAGGCTACAGATCTTGGCTGAGATGTGGGTTCCTTTTTGGAGAGTCTGTGAACCTGTGCCCTAGTCCAAAGTCTGAACTCCAGTGGTGTGGAAACCTCAGACAACATTTGAGATTTCAGGTGTTCTGGGAAAAGTGAAAAGAATTTGGCAAAAGAGAAGTTGTCTATTGAAATAAAAAGATTAGAATGTCATGTATTTGTAAAAAATTTGAAGCTGGCAGATGGATTGGCAATTTTAGACATAATGGCTGTACTTTCCCATGTAAACTTCTATGGTGTGTGAACAGGGAGGATTAATTATTGGCACAAGGGTCAAAGCCACGAACCACAAGGCTTGTGTTTGTTTTTAGAAATCTAAAGAGAACCTTGTAGAATGGCCTCATCTCTATTCCTGCTTAAGCAAAGTAAATATAAAGGTGTTGTCCCATAATCTATTTTAGGGCTTGATGAGCATATATGAACACAGGAACCAGAGAAAGGACAGAGGATGGATCGAATGAGTGAAGTCACAATAGACTGATAGTGAAGTCCCTTATCCTTATTGTCCTAACTGCTCTAACTCTGTGAATTCCAACCACTGAATTCACTACCATAGAATGTGGTCCATTCTCAATAGATATGGAACACTTAAGTCTCAATAGATATGGAACACTTAAATCCTCATCTATGGCCAGCAATTTAAAATACTACTACATCTAACTTTTCTTACTTTGGGAGATTTTTTTCATTCTGATTGATGACCAAATAACTCTCATGACTACAAACCTTTCTTCATAACACAAATACACCACTCCTGGTCACCCATACTCACCATTTCATGATTCCACTCATGTCCTAGAAAGAAGAAAGAAAATATGAGTCGAGGAGTATAAATATTAGAGCAAGATTAATGAAAGAAAAAATACACAAACAATAAAGAATATCAGAGATATCAAAAGTGAACTATTTGGAAATATCAACAAAATTGACAAACTTCTAGCTAGACATTCCAAGAAAAAAAGAAAAAGAAAAAGAGGTTAATTACTAAAATAAAGAGGGAAAGAGGAGCCCTTACTACTGACTTTATAAAAATTAAAAGATTTATAAGGGCTAGGGAATACATTTTATGCCAGCAAATGAGATAACCTAGATTAAATGGACAAATTCCTAGAAACACAGAAACTACCAATACTGATTCAAGAAGAAACAGAAAATCTGAATAGACCCAAAACATGTGGAGTTTGGATCGAAAATCAAAGATAAGTCCAGCCCCAGATGGCTTTACTGGGGAACTCTACTAAAAGTTTAAAGAAATAATACAAATAATTCACAAGTTCTGCCAAGAAAATAAGTAGAAGCGGTGGGAATATTTCCAACTCATTCTATGAGGCCAGTACTATTCTGATACTAAAACCAGACAAAGACATCACAAGAAAAGGAAACTACAGGCCAATATTCCTTATGAATATAGACACACATTTTTTCAACAAAAGAGTAGAAGACTGAATCCAGCAAAATATAAAAGATTGTATACCATGGTCAAGTCATTTTTTAGCCTAGACATGTAAGGTTGGTTTAACAAAAAAAAGCAATCAATATAAAACATTATATTAATAGAAAAAAAGATTTAAAAACCACACGATGATTTCAATAGACAGAAAAAAGTCATTTGAAAAAAATCCAACATCTTTTCATGATAAAAACAAAACAGTAATAACAGCAACAAACTAGGAATAGAAAGGAACTTCCTTAGCCTGATAAATGTATCTATGGAAAAAGTGAACATCATACTTAATGGTGAAAAATTGAATGCTTTTTCCCTAAGATCAGGAACAAGATAAGAATGTCTGCTGCCACTGTTTCTAATCAATATGGTACTAGAGGTTCTAGTCAAGGTAATTAGGCAAGAAAAAGAAATAAAAAACATTTATATTGGAAAAGAAGTAAAACTATTTCTATTTGCAGACTACATTACGTTATATATGGAAAACTTCTACTTTTTTTTTTTCTTTTTAGAGTTAGGGTGAGGGTGAGGTTTAGTGTTAGGGTTAGGGTTAATGTTAGAGGTTTTCTTCTACTTTTAAAATTTTAGCTCACGCACAGGTGCTGTTGATTTCAAATTTAACATATCTAATCATTGTCTATTGTCTCTAGTCACATATCCAGGATAACACGTTACACAATATCTAAAATATAACCTACTATTCACCAACCATATTATTTTCTCTATTATGCCCACTTGTCAAAAATAGTACCAGTATTCACTCAGTCCCTGTCCAAAACACTAAAACGTCTTACCAACCCCCATTCCATACCCTTAAATTCTTTAGGTTATCTGCATTGCCACATCATCACCACTATGAATTTATTTGTTTTGAATAATATGTACCAAAATATTTGGCCTAACTCTTTTTTTTTAATAATTTGTATTTATTCTCTATAAACAAATTTTAAGGAGGCTGGTGAAAGGGGCTTCTTAAGCAAAGGGACATTTTCAGCTACTGTGGTTTTTTTTGTTTGTTTTTTTTAAGATTTTTTTTTTTTAATTGGGGAATTGGGGGGATGGGAACAATGCTGGGGAATTGGGGGAAGGGGAACAGATAGTTGCTGTCCTTTTGTTCTTCAGTCTAGTTGTGGATTGGCCTTACTCTTAAATGCCACCAGCTGGGTTTATAACCGAAGGAGTGTTTTTGCTCTCAGTATTAGTATAATTAAATGTACACGACAAAGAAGCCAACAGGAATTGATTTAATTAAAAAAAAAAAAAAGGCTTGTGCTCAAGGAGATAGTACTGTAGTCACAGATGGATCTGGAAGCTCAAATCCTGTCCAATAGGTGTCTTCTGATTCTCTCTCCTGCCCTATCTGTTGACTTTATTCTCAGGCTTCCTATAAGGCCAAAGGAACCTCACAGTGTCAGTACCAGACTAAGAGCCCAAGGACACTGGAGACAAGGCAACTTAGACTGTGTTTTAAGAATCTCATGTTGGGTGACCCTTGTTACCTGCAGCAGCTCCGTTGCTGACCATTCATTGCGACGCTCCAGGTCTGAGATGAGCTCTTTCAGCAACTGGCTCTGCTGGACCAGTTCATCCTGAGCCTCAGCCAAGTCATCCAATGTCTTCTTCTCCTCTTCCTCCAATTTCTGCAGTTCTCTTCGCTCCTCACTGTCCAGGATGCTTCTAAGCTGATTAAATTCTGTTTGTATCCTTTGTCTCTCAGTCTGTATCTGATACTGCAAAGTCAAACAAGAGAGAGGAGTAATACATCTATCAGCCTGAGAGCCTACTGTGCAAGGGATTAGGAGCCAGAAAAAGAAATATTTTTTCAGGGAGTTCTAACCTGGAGGGGTGTAGAAGCAGGAGAGTAACTTTTGGGAAAGTTGGGCGTTTTTTGTTTGTTGTTTTCCTACTATTTTCCCTTCAGTACAAATATAAAAGGCCTCAGATTGTCTTACCTAGGATAACCTTGGGACAAATGTAAAACCTGAGTAAGGTTTAGGTTGTAGACAGCTATCCTGGACACTCATGCCTTCCTACACTCCGTTACTACACTGCGAATTTGAATCTTGAGGAAAATTTCGGTCCTTTTACCAGTGTCTTCCAGTGAAGGTGTCAGAGCCTCACACTGGGAAACAGGAATGGAAAACAGAATCCTCCAGCCACCCTCACCATAAAGTCTGTCTTTGCTTTCAATTCCTAGTGTCTGTGTGTATTTGTAACATTCATACTTGCAACATGTACTTATAACATCCACTCTTCTGCCCCCACACCCAACAGAGACAGGACAAGAAAGAGAACTAATCAAATACTTCTGGGCTCATTCAACGTCAGCGAACAAAGAGGACGGGGCATCCTTTGTGATTGGGATGGAAGGTCCTGCCAAGATTCATATCTCAGAAATCCCTCAGGAAGTGTCTCCTCCTACCTTCCAGGAAGTTCTCTCTTCTCTAATTTCAGCTCCCAACTTCTCAGCTTCCTGCTGCTCTTTCTTCAGCCTCTCTAGAGATGCCTGGAGCTGCTCCTGCGAGAGAGAAATCACATAAGCGTCAAGCCGTGAGCTTTCTTAGCATCTGGATAGAGCATAAATGAGGAATAAATCAGGCCGATCTCAGAAGAGACCAGTTCACAGAAACTGTGATTAGAATCTATGACATGAGAGAAAACCGGAGGAGGTGAATGTAATCATTCCTGGCTGACGGAAGTCACCATCTCTTCACCAAGAGTAGCCTGATTTTCTCTTTTCTTAGAGTAAGTACTGACTCTGCTATGGCAAGGCAAATCTGGTCCTCTTTATTGAAACCCTTTCCACATCCAATCCACAGTGTTAACAACCATCTTGCCAAGAGGAGCAGTGAGAGCTAAACTTGTGAAAGAAATTCCCCACCCACAAAACAAAAGGGAAGAAAGGAAAACCTTTACTACTGGCCATGAGTCTGTATTCTAGGCTCATCCTTTATGTAAATGGAAGGAATACACAGAAATATCCTTCAGGCATGGGAAGCTGAGCATAGGGTAATAGACATACATGAAAAGAAATTACAGGGCTCAGTACTATGGTGCTGTGGTGAGTTAAGAAGGATGGAAAGGTGAGATTTCCCCACCAAGTACTATCTTCTGCTCTGTCTCCCTCCATCCTGGTCTCTTACCTGGGACTCCCGGAAAGCCTCCTCCATGAGGAATATGTGGTGACCATGGTGCTCCTGAGACCGCTCACAAAGCCGACAAATGACCCTCCTATCCTCCTTACAGAAGAGCAGGAGTCTTTCTCCATGGCGCACACAGAGATCTCTCTTCTGCCCCTCCTCTGGGCTCACCTTGACCTCCCTGAACCTCTCCACTATGTTGGCCAGATGCTGATTAAGCCATAGGTTTCCATGGGAATACCTGATACCACACACAGGACATCTGTTTTCCCCTCCTGGGTCGATCTCTGACTCCTTGTTGTTAGTGATGCAGGTTTGGCAGAAGCTGTGGCCACAGTCTAGACTCAGGGGTTCTGTCAGGAGCTCCAGGCAGATGGAACAGGTCATGGCTTCTTGTACGTTCACCAGAAAATTTAAAACCATAGCAGCTGTTCCCTTGGCTTCTTCCTGTTCTGACTCCTGAGGGTCTTCTTGCCTAGTGATTCCTGGACGCATGGGCAGATTGAAAGGGGATGGTGTAAGAATGGCACAAACAGAAATGATACTAATTGTGCAGACATAGGGATTGGCCAAGACTGACATATTGAAGGACAAAAAAGAAGAGGGAAAAAAAACCAGAAATGGAATTCAGTGGCCTGGGTAAGCCACTAATGCCTCAGAACTTTTGCTTTTCTTTCAGCCTGGAATGATCTTCCCCTTGATATTTGCACGACTTACTCTTACACTTTACTCAGCTCTCTCCTTACATGTCCTCTCATCAGAAGGGCCTAATATGAATAACTTAGCTACAGCACAACCACCAAAACATTACTTGGTGTATATATTTGCCATCTGTTTTTTTATTACTAATAGTCACACACACACACACACACACACACACACACACACACACACACACACACACGGTGCCAAAAAAATGTATACACATTTTAAGAAAGGAAAACTGTATTAAAATTGTAAAACTCAATATACACTGATAACAAAAGATGACTACAAGTCACATTTGACTTCTGCAATTACAAGAGGTGCTCAAAGTGGTTGCCATCAGCGTCCAAACAGTACTGATTACAGCAAACTACTGCTAGAGCAACAACGACCAAAGTGTCTACTTGTATACATTTTTTGGCACCGCCGGTATATATGTGTGTGTATATCTATATATATCTATCTATATCTATCTATATATATATCCATATATATCTGGGATATTCTTTAAATATCCCACTCCTAAAATGTAATCCATATATAGATCAGGCACTTTATTTCTCCATAGGTGATTAGACTTTCTCTGTTTTTTTAAACAGTGTTTTGTCTTTTCTTCCCGTTAATTAGCTATTCTCTAACAGGTGAGCTTTGGGACTATAGAAATGGTTTTCATTGATGAAGTATTTACTTTCTGGTATACTGTCCCTCACAGAGTCCTCCCATACCTTCATATTCACTTCCCAGAGATACCCACAGAAATAGCAAGGACCACAATATGGAAGTAATCTTATCACTAACAATTGTATAACCAGTTACAATTTATAAATCACTTTGATCTATTCATTCCTCATATAAAAATTCTTGAGAAATAAGAGTACTCCCTTTATTCAGATGTCTAAATAGAATTAAGTGACTTACAAAGATTATTCAATAAGTTGAATTAGATGAATGTCCTCAGGGTCCTCCTTTGGAGAGCTGGTAGGTGTGATAAACACTACCACACAGAGGTACACATTTTTGGCAAATCAAATAATTTGCCAAATAATAGAATATCAAAGATCTCCTCCTTGAATAAGTAAGGGTTGAACTGAAAGCTGAATGATAAGGAAATATGGAATGAGAAAAAAGAAAAATATTTTAGGGAGAAGGAACCACATATATAAATGCCTGATGGATGGAGGACACAGCATCTTCTAGAAGTATTAGAATGCTGGTGTGCAGAGAGCTGCTAGGCCTTTTGCATTACATGACCCTAAAGGGACTAGAAATGTGACACTTCCTAAGTAGTATGAAAATGACAGTCTCTTGTTCGTTTTCAAATGACCTGTCATGAGGGGGATAAAGTACCTTCTATATCACTGTATGGACCCTCGTTGAGAGCTTACCTGAGGCAGTCCTGTCAAAATGCTGTGTCTCCCATCTTATATGCCTCTGCTAGGGTAAGTGTGCCTGGCTGGTTTATGTCCTGGTGTCACATAAGTGGGAATGGCAAACCAAATTTGAAACTATTGCTGGTGGTAGGTCAGAGGGCATATCAGAATGGCAGCATGGTGATGCTGACTCTTAGAACCTGGGCTCAATATGGACAAGGAACTGTGAAGGGGGTAAAAAAGGGAAGATCTCAGTAGATATGAATGTGTTGATACTTGTTCTAATAGATTCAAACTGTGTCCCCCACACAGATATATTTACTTGTGTGAATGTGACCTTATTTGGAAATAAGGTCTTTGCAGATCTAATCAAGTTAAGATGAGGTCATTCTAGAATAGGATGGGCTCTAAATCCAATGACCAGTGTCCTTATAAGAAGAGGGCGCACAGACACATAGGGAACAAGTCCACATGATAATGGTGGCAGAGATTGGAATAATGTAGCAACAAGGCAAGGGACGCCAAGCATTGCTGGAAACCACCAGAAACTAGGAGACATGGCACAGATTCTCCCTTTGAGCCTGCAGGAGAAACCAACTCTACCACCACTTAGATTTCAGACTTTTGGCCTCCTGAACTTGAGAGAATACATTTTTGCTGTTTTAAGCCACCTGGTTTGTGGTAATTTGTTACAGGCCTAGGTTACTAATACAGTTGAGAGGGTTTGATAGTGAAAGATATAAAGTATGTAACAAACCATAAATCTTCCCCTTGCTCTAAAAAGAAAGGGTGGGAGTATTATGAAAAAAGCTGTATGGAGATACATTTAGGCCTAGAAATCTGCCCACTTCTCCAATGATCCACAAAGCGAACCTGATGAGGAATAAGGGTTCCATAAATGTGGGTTGGCAGGTACAATCCAGCCAATTGTACAGATACCAAAAATTGTCTAGATACTAAAAATTGTCTAAGGTCTATACACTGTTAGCCCCTGGTTGCAGTGACAATTGGTTAGATCAGGCTCTGATGACTGGCTAGATCAGGAGTTTATATAATATGATAATGTTCACCTTTGCCTACAAATGAAGTTATAAGCCAACCACGGGTGTGAAGTACTCTGTTATCTTTCATTCTATCCAACCAATGCTTTGAAACACCAAAACATACAAAGGAAAGAGTAGAACATGCTTTCTCTCCTGGGTACCTGCCCCAAAAATCTGTAAACATTTATCCGTAAAGATATATGTACTCAGGTGTTCATTGCAGCTTTACAGTGGACAAGACATGAAAACAACCAAAGTATCCTTCAATAGATGATTAAATAAAGAAGTTGTGATATATATATATATATATATATATATATATATATAAACAATGGAATACTATTCTGCCATAAGAAAAGATGAAATAGTGCCATTTGTGACAACATGGATGGATCTTGAGATTATTATGCTAAGTGAAATAAGTCCGACAGGAAAAGTCGTGAACCACATGATTTCACTGATATGTGGGAAATAAAACTGAAAGCAACAAAGGAACAAGACAAACAATTGAAGAAACAAAAACTCATAAATAGACAATAGTTTAGTGGTTACCAGAGGGTAAGAGGGCAGGGAAGGGGGTGGTAGATGATGATAAATGGGATCAAATATATGGTGATGGAAAGAGAACTGACTCCGGGTGGTGAACACACAATGTGATATATAGACAATGTATTACAGAATTGTACTTGAAATCTATGTAACTTGACTAACAATTGTCACCCCAATAAATTTTAATTGAAAAGAAAAACATGCTTTCTACCATGGGGTTGTAGACCTCATGTTCAGAGTAGGGCTGCAAAGAGCTGATGTCAAAGCAGCTGCCACCATAATAACCACAGAAAGAGGAGGCAGAACCCTACACATGGGCAATGAAACCACCAATGCCCAAGTTCTTGACCCTGGGGAGACAATCAATATCTGGGCAGAAATGGACCCTCTCTAGGAGTAAGGCATAGACTCCCAGGAAGGCAGTAACAGTGATTTCTGAAAAGTAGGCGTACAGGACAGAATGGGCATGTGTCGGAATGTATGTGACATATCTATCAGTGTGCAAACTGCTCATAAATGAGCTTAGGATGTGATATGTCAACTCATGGAGCAAACTTCTTAGCCAAGACCATTGGATCTTTGGGCTCCTTCTGAGCAATAATCAACCCCTATTCATTAGCTCTGAACAAAGAAAACCAGTGAGCAGTTGAGGTAGCAATCAATGCAAAGGTGTGTCTAAGAGTTCTGAGGCAGATAAGGACAATGGGCAGCTGAGGTAAGCTAAGCAGGTCTAGTTCAAGGAAGTGCAAATAGATTCCGGAGGACACAGGCAGCCTCAGAAGCAGCAGTTAGATCATCCAACCTGCTGTCTTCAGGCAAGCCAACAGCTGAGGATAAGTCTGGAAGGCTATAGACAGCCCCTCAGTGGTTGCCAGGAGGGGAGTGAAAGAATCAGCTTCAATATTACCCCTGGCCACGCCCGTAAGACTCCATTCTAGTTGATGTCCCATACTGGGAGCTTGGGCCTTCATACATTTGGAAAACAAGAACCTCTTTTACTAGCTTTTCTTCTGAGGAGGGGGTGGAGTTGGGCAAAAGAGAAGAGACTGATTATCTCTTTACGAGAGAACTTGAGAGAGAGAGAGAGAGAGAATTCCAGTTCCCCCCAGCAAGGCAGATAAACAAAAACTACAGAATAGGAAGGGGACGGGGATGAAGGTGAACTTAGCCTTGAAAAATAAGGGCTCCTCAGGAAACAAACAAGGCCCTCCCTCTCCACTCAAGGCTGCCATCTGTCTGCAACTCAACGCAGGAAGCCTGCCTGCTGGCTTCTCACCCCTTTAGAGCATGTCTAGATCACAAACGAAACTCACCTAACTTCACCTAGTACTTTCCTCCCCAAGTCTCCTACCCTCTGCACTCCATAAACCTTCTCACACACCTTCAGGCTCCATTGGAGAAGTCTCGATTCCTGCTTTAAGTGGTGAGGAAAAGCCTGAGCAGTAGTCAGGATTCACCCTCCAGCCGGGCTCAGCCTGTATGAAGTAGTTCCTCCTGAGGAGCTGGCTGAGAAGTGAAACTGAAATTCTTGCGGCTGGCAGGAAAAAGGGGAAGGAACTTCTAGGCCAAATGGGCGGTGATCCTTTAGGGCCAATGCAGAGACAGAAATGCTTTAACCCAAAGGTTTTAGAAGAGTTCGGTGGGGAGGGGAGATTTGCCCAGGAGACATTTGGCAGTCTGACAGTTTCGTTTCCCATACCTAGGGGGATACTGCTGCCATCTAGTGGGCAGAGGCCAGGCATATGGCTAACCATTCTACAACGCACAGGACAGCTCCCACAATTATCCAGTCCAACCAACTACCGACGTGTAATATGTCTCAAGTAGAAAAAAATGGCTGCTTTTGGAAACTCATCTAAGGGTATCAAGGGTTCCTCCAGAGCATCACACTCAGCTGAGTCGTGCTTCTTGGAAGCAGGAATGGCCTGGATAGCAGAATAAACAAGTTTGGTATATTCAGGAATCTGCAAATGATTCTGTGGGATTGTACTGGGAGCTCTAGGTAAACAGAAGAGAGGCCACAAGAGGTGGGCAAGGGCCACATCATCGATACTCATTTATACAGAGAGAACTGGGAATTATCTGGAGGAACATGACGACAACTACACAGATACCAGGGCAAGAGTAAAGTGGAAGCTTTTCAGATCCCTCTGGCTTTGTTCCCATTATCTCCCAGTAGCCCCCGCACCCTCCCAGAGCAGGGCCCAGTGGGGCTGTCTTCTCAGTGAGTTTCTTACAGAAAATGATTCAGAAGCCTGGGTTTCTACAAGTATCAGTATGCATAAGTCCCTATGAAAATGGAAGATAATTCTGTACATCTTTTAATTTTTATTGCATTATGAACCTTTTCTGACTGTTTTTTGAATATTATTTTATTTGCAGAACGACTTTATAGACATTCTAAAGCTTATTAGTATAGAACTGTGCGATATTTTTTAACATTTTAATTAGTTGTAATGAACTTTTCATTGTTTTGTTAGTTGTTTGTGCTATCTTTTGCCTTATTTGTGTAAAATAACCACTTTCTCCTTCTGCTGCAATTTATTTTGGTATATTTTATATGCTGTTATATTCTTTCAAAAAACAAGTCTGCTTGTATAAGGGAAGACAGTGTCGACTGGCCAAAAATAACTCCAGGAAATCCACCAAAAGAACAGTTTATTCGGGAAAAGAAAAGAAACAAAAAACACCACAGCAGTGCGAGAACGCACACCTCAAACCGGGAAACCAGCCGGTTGCCCACGTGAAGAATAGCCTTGGTTCCAAGATGTCTATTTATTAGCATCCCTCCCCTGGAAGTTACCACAGTTTAACATGAAGTCAGGACTAGAGAGTTAACAAGGGGCCCAACTCCACCCATAGTCCTCCCAGCTCTATGGTGAAGCATCTTAAGATGCCAATTCACTTTTATCAACAGCAAGGAGCTGGGGTAATTCCCCCAAACTGAAATCCTTGGCTTAGCTTCAGAAATGACCAGATGCTGCTGCAGTTGCCTCCACGTGGTGACACCAGCCAGTGGTAGTTTGAAAGTGAATGACTCTGAAGGGCCAGGCAGGCTCAGGGCAGCAGGATACTGTTGACGGGGCCAGCGAGCACAGCACAGTGTGGGCTTTTCAGAGCTCAAGTTCCTGGATACAGCTAGGGAAGGAGACTTTCTGAACTTTGCACTCTGCAGCACCAAGCGGCACATTTACTGAAGGAAGAGGAAAATCTGAGGCCTCCGAGAACACAGGAGGGCCACAAATGCCAGCTGTAAAGCATCCACTGTTTACTTTAACTTTCCCCAAACACATTCACCAACAAAAATGCACTCCTATCCCACATTAACTGTAAATATTCTAAAATTGTATGGGTTTGTTAAACATGACCACTGGAATAATTGCAAGTTTCGTAGAATTAACATTCATTTATTAACTATGAGATGTTCCCCTCCACCCTCAATAAGCTGAGGATAATATGGGCTTTGTTATTGAGTCTCCAATACTCTCAAGAAAACTTAAAACACTCAGGATACAGAACTGTACCTGCAAGGTCTCAATGGTAAAGCAATGCTGAGATAAAAAATAACTCCTCTTTTCCCACCCTTGGGAGAGGCACTGTGAAGGGAGGAGAGTTGAGGGTGCTGAGATGAAAATAAAAGCAGATGTAGGGTTGGAGTCAGTATCAAGAGAGTGCCCAGCATCAGTCGTCCTCAGGCAAATGGAAGATCATGAGAATCTCATACAAATGAGTGCAGATCCTATGATTATTCTAACGAGGGTCTCAGATTCCCAGGGCTGAGAAACTTCCAGGCACCATCAGGCAATGGCTGTAGGTACCACTACTTGCTCATTATCCATGGGCAGTCCAGCAGATTGAAGGCTCCTACGCTCTGAGATTCTCCTGAGCCTACCCAACCTTTCCGCTAAATGTGCCCCAGAAATACAAGATGGCACAATTGCCACATATGCTTTTTAGAGATGCTGGAAAGGGAAAACCCTAGAACTAATTCCTGAGTAGTAAGAACATACACCTGGTCCAGGATTTATTTTGAATTCTGATCCTTTCTCTGGTCTCTAAAAATTGGATGCAACAGACAGGTTTTTATGGTCTTGTTGGTAAAGGACACCATTTCTGGGGCCAAGAGGCTTTGTTAAAGAGATGATGATTCATCAGGTTTTTTTTTTTCCTCTGTAATCATTTCCCATCTTCAACTGGGGGACTGAAAAGTTCAGAGAATGAGAGGCCTGAATAGTCCTGGAGTTTCCTGTCAATAATTCAAGGGCATGCAGTATGCTCCTAGTGCTATAGGAAAAAACCACAAGTTAAAACATGTCACTAGTGCTAAGCGCCCATGATATCAAACCTAGATTTAATTGCTGACCTAACTGCAGTTTCAATCTCTCTGAGAAACACAATCTTACTCAACTAGTATGGAATTTTCTGGTCAAGCACCATCAGTCAGGTAATCTGTCATGTGGGCCCTCTCCATCCCCCATAGAAATTAGAGGCAGTCTGCATTGATTAAAAAAAACAAAACACCTTTGTTCTCTTCCCCTAAAAGAAGGTGTGTAGGCCCAAAAATAACCCTCTTGTTTGTAGCTCCCTTGCCCCACCTTCCTTCCTATAAAAACCTTCCACTTTTACAACCCTTTGGAGTGCCCTAGTTCTAGTAGCTAGATGGGCTGCCCAAGTCATGAATTGCTTAATAAAACCAATTAGATTTTCAAATTTACTCAGTTGAGTTCTGCCTTTTAACGTTAGTGAGCCAGAACCTCATTGTAGCAATGCGGTGTGCATGAGTCAAAAGGAAATTGTTAAAAATTGGTTTCATTTCCATGGATCAGTGCTGGAGCTATGGGGGGCATGGCAACAGATAGACTGGAGTGTCTGATTTGAAATCCCTCCCCACCACCAAAAGTCACCATGAGATGGGGGAATAGAAAATTCATGGCAAAGAAGGAACCAGAACAGAAACTGCTTCATCAAGCGGTTCATTAATTATATTTATCTCAGTTCAGAAGTAGGTAAGGAACACTTGGCAATAAAAATGCCTAAAGAGCTGGGGCACAATATTGCAGCACCATTTGATCTTCTATCTCACTGTGACACAGAACAGGCCTTCTTTTGCTCCTGACTGGAAAGAGGGAGGCTGGCCTGCACTGTTGCTGAGGGACTCCCCCCCAGTACTGCTCAGTCTTTGTCTATCACTGTATCCTAAGGTGGACAAGCAACCTGAAAAATGAGACTTACTTAGGCAAAGTGAGAAAAGGGTTTCCAGTGAGAGAATTTCTGCAATAGTAAAGAATATCAGAGAATCCCAGTTTCAGTTTCAACATGTAAAGAACCTGAAAATCATTACTTCCTTACAAGATAAAAGCTGAACAAACTAAACATTGCCAGCACTGGGGAAATAATGCCCTTACCCCGTCGACGAAAAACATCCAGCCTAAGAGAAAACTTATAGTTCATTTGAGCCAAACTGATGACAATTGCCAGGAAGCAAAATCTCAATGGATTGAGAAAATGCTCCAGAAAATGGCCGTTTTGTAACTTATTTTACACATTAGAATCAAAGGAGGAAGGTAACATGAAATCCATTGGTTGTAGATTAAGGGGGTAGGAGAAAGCAAAGGGGGAGAAATCTCTGGGATTGGATAAAAAGTAAAATGGAGAGATGCACACTTTTTTTTACATTGGTGGGTACAGGATTTAATAGCATTTTACAGCACAGAGAGATAGTATTTGGGGAACAAGATAACAGTGAGGGACTTTGTAGATTCCTGTTCCGATGTGGTGGGTTGTGCCCCCTGGGGTGGGGGTGGGGGTCCGGATAAAGAGATTACTCTGATATTGCAAGGGTATGTTATCTTAGATGCAAAAAGAGAACAGACAGGCTTAAGGTAAAGATCGACCTTTGTCAAGGAAGCTACTGGCCAAGGATGTGACTTCCCGCCATGGCCCACCTCAGAAATTTTTTTCGCGCCATCCTCCATGGTTATTTTCAGTCTCCTGAGCTTGTCAGGTTTAACATGTGGCCCCTTTTCCTACACAGAACAGGCCTTATTTTGCTCCTGACTGGAAAGAGTGAGGCTGGCCTGCACTATTGCTGAGGGAGCCCCGCCCCCAGTCCTGCTCAGTCTTTGTCTATCACTGTATCCTAAGGTGGACAAGCAACCTGAAAAATGGAGACTTAGTTAGGCAAAGTGAGAAAAGGGTTTCCAGTGAAAGAGAATTTCTGCAGAAGTAGTAAAGAATACCAGAGAATTCCAGTTTTAGTTTCAACATGTAAAGAACCTGAAAATCATTACTTCCTTACAAGATAAAAGCTGAACAAACTAAACATTGTCAGCACTGGGGAAACATTGTCCTTACTCCCTTAGTTCTTCTGGCTGGTCAAATAATTCAAAAGATATACAGCAGATGAACAGGACAAAATCAAATTTTAATATGTGTGCAAGGGTGATTCATATAAGCAAGAAAATTCCAAAGACAGTGAGGAAAAATGAGGTATATATGTCGTTTTAGAATAAAGAGGGGAACGTTGGCAATACACAGATGGCTGAGAAAGCAAACATTTGGCAAACAAATTCTTGCAGACCACCCACAAACAATGCGATAAAAAAGGGAATCTAGGGAACAGATTTTTGCTTAGCTTCTCCCCCTCTGCC